CTTTTCCAGGGCTCTTCCAACTCCTACGCCATCAAGAAGAAGGATGAGCTGGAGCGTGTGGCCAAATCCAACCGTTAGAGACCCCCTGGAATGGGGGGACCCCTCCCCAAATAAATCCACGTGATCTCTGATCCCCCCGCCTGTCCTGGGGGTCAATTCCCAACCCCCTCCCAAAAATTCAGAATCTGGGAATTCCTTGTGCCTGGAATTTGGGTTCCGGGGGGTGTTTTGGGGGCAGGGCATTTTTAGGGATATTTGGGTGTTAATTCCAACCCCCCTCCCAGAAAACCCAGACTCTGGGAACGCCTAAAACTCTGGGATGTGGCTCCAGGACCCCCCAAATCCCAATCCAGACCCCCCACCAATCCCTCTGGATCCCGTTTTCCCTGGAAAACACCACACAAGACACTTGGGAAGAAGGAAAGGAGTCCGGTTTTCCCAGTAAAGTGCGGCTGTACAGGAGGGGCCGGACCCGGATACAACAGTCTGGGAATTTGGGAATTCTCGTGGAATTCCATCCAGATGATCCCACTGGATCCACCCCCATCCCAAAAACCCGCCCTCTGGATCCGTCCCATTCCCAAGGTATTGGGAACAACACCCTGCGTGGATTCAAAGCCTGGATTGGAGACAAAGCCCAGACCTAAAACTTTGGGGATTCCCAGGGAATTCCCATGGGATACAACCCTGGAATGGGATCCCAGGGTCAGGGAGCTACAGGGGATTATGGGGGTTCCTGGGATAGGGGAGGGATGGGAATTGCTACGGGTGGAGAGGGGGTGGGAAGGCACCAGGAGTGGTGTGGGATGAGTGTAGGATTCGTGGGATCACTGGGGGTTTTGGGATGAGTGGGGTTTCTGGGAATGCTGTGGGATTTATGGGATCACTGTAGGATTTTTGGGATAACTGTGAGGTGTTTGGGATAACTGGGGGGGGGGTTGGGGATGATTGTCAGGTTTTTGGGATAACTGTAGGTTTTATGGGATAACTGTAGGATTATGGGAATGCTGTGGGATTTCTGGGATAACTGTGGGCTTTGACTGTAGAGAAGATCAGGACAACCCTCGGGGAATTTTGGGGGGTCTTCCCGCTTTTCCAAGTCATCTCTTGCTCCTCCCTCTTTAAGCCCCACCCCCTTTATTTCAGCCCCTCCCACCCCACTTTTCCACCTGATCCCAGGAAACACCTGGAACTCCTGGAAAGGTGGAGAACACCCCAAACCAGCACAATTATCCCAAAAACCTCATTAATAATTGGTCGAAGAGGCCCCGCCCCTGATCTAAGCCCCTCCCACCCCACTTTTCCATTGAATTCCCGGAGGAGCAAAACACCCCAAACCACCTCCGAGACGCCCCAAATTATCCCGAAACCCTCATTAACAATTAGCTGTCGAGGCCCCGCCCCCGGGGAGGGGTCACTTGTAGAGGAGGTGGACGCGGCTCCCGTCGCAATTCCCGCGTCCCAACTTCTCGGCCTGCTCGGACACGAGGCAGCGCACCAGGGGCAGGTTGGGTTGGTAGAAGGGGGGTCCCGTCCCCCCTCCCCCGCCCGGGGGGGCCGCGGGGGCTCCCCCCGATCCCGGCGGGAAGTGGTTGTTGTCGCCGTTCTCCCGGGAAGGGTTGGACGGGCGGCGGCGGGAGCGGAGCTGCTGCCGGTCCTGGAGCTGCTGCCGGAGCTCCGACACCCGCTCTTCCTTCTGGGAACGGGAACGGGAATCCCCCTCAGCGGGGACCCCAACCCTCGAATCCCATCTGAGGTCCTCAAACCACCATTTTAGAGTCCCAATCCCATTCTGGGTCCCCCCAAACCCCAATTTGAGATCCCCCAACCCCATTTAGGGTCCCCTAAACCTCATTTGGGGTCCCAACCCCTGTTTGGGGCCCCCCAATCTCCCCTTTGGGGTCGTCTCCCCCCCGACCTCGGCGATGATCTTCTCCAGCTCCCGGTTCTCCTTCTCCAGGAGCCGGGATTTCTCCTCCTCGTTGTTGTTGGTGGAGGATCCCGTTTTCATGGTGTCCTGCTGCTCCGACTGCCACTCCCCCCGCGTGATCAGGCGCCGCATCTGCATTTGGGGCATTTATGGGATTGACCCCAAAACAATGACTGTGGGGTCCACGGGGTGTGGGGGGGGTCAATAGGATGGTTCCAGGATCAGTGGGATGGCTGTAGGGTCAATGGGATCACTGTAGGGTTCACGGGATCACTGTAGGGTTCACGGGATCACTGTAGGGTTCACGGGATCACTGCAGAGTTTTGGGATAACTGTGGGGTCTGTGAAGTCACTGTGGGTTCTGTGAGGTCACTGTAGCATTTATAGGATCTCTGTAGGATCTATGGGATAACTGTAGGATTTATGGGGTCACTGTAGGATTTTGGGTCACTGCAGGGTTTTGGGGTCACTGCAGGGTTTTGGGGTCACTGCGGGGTTTTGGGGTCCCTGTGGGGGTCTCTGGGGTCGGTCCCAAGCCCACCTTGGGCACGAAGAGCACGACGAGGGTGATGTAGGACGAGAAGACGACGGCCAGCGCCGCGAAGGCAAAGGCGGCGTCCTGTTGGCTGCTCAGGATCATCGTCACCGGCGCCGTGATGAGGCAAAGCACCTGCGGGGGGGTTTGGGGTCACCCTGTGGGATTTGGGGTCACCCCATGGGGGTTTGGGGTCACCCTGTGGGATTTGGGGTCACCCCACGGGGGTTTGGGGTCAGCAGGTGGGATTTGGGGTGGGTTTGGGGTGGTTTGGGGTGTTTTTTACCGCCACGTTGTAGATGGCCATGCCGACGGCGCGGTGGTCGTTGATCTTCTCGGTGGAGACGCTCTTGGTCTCGTAGGCCAAGAAGATCCCGAGGAGGAGCAGGAGACCCTTGAACCCATAAAAAATCCCTGGAAAAAGGGGGGGGGGGAATGGGATTGGGGGATCAAACAGGGACCCCAGAACCTCCCTGTGCCCCTCAAATCCTCCCTGTGCACCCCCAAAACCCACCTATACCCCCCCAAAACCCCCTTGTCCCCCCCCCAAACCTCTCTAAACCCCTCCAGAACCACCCAGACCCCCCAAACCCTCTTTTACCTCCCAAAAGCCCCCAAAATGCCCTCCAAACCCCTTTCCCCCCCAAAATGCCCCTACAAGCCCCCTTTTCCCCCAAAACTCCCCATCCCTGCCCACTCCTGTCCCCCCCCAACCTCCCTGAGCCCCCCACAACCTCCCAGACCCCCCGAAGGCCCCCCCAGGACCCCCCAAAACCCCACCCAGCCACGTGTTCATCTTGGTGGAGCTGCAGTGCTCGAGCTGGGGCAGGATGGACACGTCCAGGTCTGTCTTGGGCTCCTCCTTGGTGAATTCCTGGGAATTTGGGGTGGGAATTGGGCACAGAGGGGGTGATGGGGGGGTGGGAGCTGTGGGGACCCCCCTAAAGCCCCCCCCAATGTCAAGGAAACACCCCCAACACCTTGAATATCAAGACGAGCCCCCCAAGGTCTTGAATTGCTTTAAGACCCCCAAAACACCCCCAAAACCCCAATTCCAAGGACAGGGAAGTTTCCAGATTCCTGAATTTTTGGGGAGGGGTTGGAATGAACACCCAGAGCCCCCAAAACAACCCCCACACCCCTAAAACTTCCCCAAAGACCCCCCAAAACAACCCCCAGAGCCCCCCAAACCCCCAATTCCAAGGACAGGGGACTTCCCAGAATCCCGAATTTTTTTGGGGACCCCCCAGAAGCCCCCCAGGGCCCCCCTGCCCCCACCTCGATGGTTCGGTGCAGGGGGTCCACGATCTGCCACACGACCAAGGTCACCACGTCCAGCCCCACCAGCAGCCCCACGGTGGCGTAGAGTTTCCAGGGCTCCAGAGTCTGGGATTTGGGGATTTGGGGATTTGGGGATGAGGCCGGGTCACCAGGGACCCCCTGAGACCCCCCCAGTGTCCCCCCCTCACCTTCCTCTTCTCCTTCTTCTCCTCCTTCTTGGTGAAGACGGTGTGGACCCACCAGATCTTGGTGAACATGCTGCCGTAGGCCAGGCTAAAGCCCAGGCCTAGGAGCCAAAGCCGGGCCTGAAAGGGACAGTTGTGCTTCCAGCTGGGAATTCCCGGGACGCCTGGACCACCCCCAGGGACAGGACCCCCCCAAAAGGGGTGTAAATCCCCCCAAAATGGGTGTAAAATCCCTGAAAGGGCTGTAAAACCCCTAAAATGGGTATAAACCACCCCAAAATGGGTGTAAACCCCTAAAATGGGTGTAAACCCCCGGCTGTATCTCTGACTGTTCCTCCTCCAGCTGTTCCCACCCCTGGTTGTCCCCATTCCCTGGCTGTGTTTCCAGCTGTTCCCACCCCTGGTTGTTCCCATTCCCTGGCTGTGTTTCCAGCTGTTCCCACCCCTGGTTGTTCCCATCCCTGGCTGTGTTTCCAGCTGTTCCCACCCCTGGTTGTTCCCATTCCCTGGCTGTGTTTCCAGCTGTTCCCATCCCTGGTTGTTCCC